TCTCTCTCTCTCTCTGAGAAAGGCTACTATAAAATTGTTACAGAGAACATTTCAGAAAATGGTAAGACAAAAAGTGTGTTGTAATTAGGCTTTGGAGCTACACAGATCTGGGCTTAAGTCATCTGAGCCTGAATATATGCACTAACTTGAGGATCACAAGGAAATAATTGAAGCTCTCTTTTTTTCCCTATAAAATGGGAATACAATTTATAAATTTATATAAACTAAATGACACACAACATCTGGAAACCTTTAGGATACAAAGAAAATATTTAATATGGTAGCAACTTCTCTCCCTTTATTGAAAGGCAGAGTCAAAAAGGTAAGTTTAAATCACAATATCTGAAAATTTATATATGTATATGTATGTATATATATACATACATATATATATATATATATAGAGAGAGAGAGAGAGAGAGATTTTAGACTGAATTAAGAGTAGAATTAAAAACTGCTGACCATAGCTTTTCAATTTGGCTCTAGTTCCCCTTCCACTGAGATCAGAACTATATAATTAACTGCAACACCTTCTAAAAATGGATAATGTACTTAAGAATGCACTTAAGAAGCACTGTCTTCTATTGATGGTCAGAAATGTGTATCTTTGCTCCTCCTGTTTATAAGGGGCTATACTGGTGTACATACTGATTGTAAAATGTGTCTGGATATATGGAAGTTGGTGTAATTTAAAGGGAGAGATAGGCTGCAGAGAAATCCGATCTGAGTTACTCCTTTCTAGTAGTAGCGAAGTTGCTGAGATCCAGGACCCCTTTATCTGTACTACATTTGCTTTAACTATACGGAATTGGGGCTACATGAGAACTGCCACTTCCACGGGGAGAAAGGTGAGATTACAATGACTTGTCTAAGAAGCAGGGGCACATGATCTGTAACCACCCAAGCTGCCTGCATGATAATGAAAACATTTATTACAGTCTAGCACAGCTCATAAATACAGAATTGTTTAACAATTTGCAGGAATTTTACTTAAAAACTCAGTCTGGCCCCATAGTATTACTGTAACTCATGTGTCTATTTAACAGTTGTATGTGTACGTAGCCACATTGTACTACTTTACCTAACGCATATATTTAACTGTAGTGTATGCACGTATATACGTATGTATTAAGAGTCTTTCAATTATGAGCTTAAAAAACACTTTAGAAACATCCGTAAAACATAAATAATATCTTTAAAATGGAAGCATGTCACAAAGGCTGATAATAATTTTGTGACACTGAATGAACTAAACTAGTCAATAAGTATTCACTGTAAATATTGTCTTTAGAGATGTAGTCAAGGCTGGGGAAGAGAAAAGGAGTGCACAAAGGAAGTGAGACATGGCCCATGGGCTCAGTTGAGGCTACCCCACAGAGATCAGTTCCAAGTAAAGATTACAGAATTCATATTATACATGTGTTTCTGATCTTACAGCTTTTTCTCTGTTTTCAAAGCCTGTATCAATCTGACTGCCTCTGTGGTTCTGTAGGCCAAGTGCTGCTTTTTCACATTGGGTATATTTAATCTCCCAGGTGGATTTTTCCATTTTGGCCAATTTATGTGACCCCCGCTTGTCTGAATCACATTTTCAGGATTATTATGTTCACCAGATCTAACTCTTTCTGAGTTCAAGACAGGCAGGCTGTTTTAGTACTTTGATCATCACAACTCAGGTTTTTGATGACTTCTCCCTGTCAACCAGTGCTTACCTATCATCATTCCATGTCCAGCCCTCACCTACTGCCCCTTTGAAGCCAAGTGATTGACAGTTCCTTTTCACACTGTCCAGCTGCTGCTATTTATCTTGCCAGTTCCCCAAACTTGTGATTCCTTCCTACTGCTGGATTTTCCCAGCACAGAAGTTTTTAATACTGGACAGAGGTGGGAATATTGGTAAGATAGAGCTGAACAAAATGAATTAAAAAACTAAAATGTATGTGTGAAATTTCCCCTCTAAATCACTAAATCACTAAAAACAGTAGTGATCAAACTTTTGAGTACCAACATCATGGAGATACACCTCGAGACACATGGCCACACAAAAATTCAAATCATTTGAAAACTACACACAATCAATACAAGCCATCTCATTTTACTCTCGGCCACAGAGTTCTGCTCCTGAGGTCCCCTGGAGTCTCTGTGGCAGAATTCTAGGTTTTTGTGGTACTTACAGAATTGTGTTTTATACTGCATGAGCGCCTGTGAGATTATGTCTAGTCTTGAGAAGGTTTGTTGTTCTCGAAATACCTCAAAAGGCTCATTTACCCCAAGACGGCTTAAAGACACCCTCCCCATTGAAGCCATAAACACAGACTCAAACCAGCACACTTGAGAAAAGATGAATGATAGAATAAAGCTAAATAAGAACATTAGCCCACATGTGATAGTCCTGTCCCTTCTGTGGGTAACAGACTAATTCTATTACTCAATAAACTTGCAGTGAGTTACACCTTTTCTTTATGATTACTCATAGAGTTCTGCCTATACATCCACCACCTATCCAATCAGTCAGTCAGAAAGTGTATACAGAAGATGTACCATAGGCCAGCATGGTGTTGGCTCAAGAGTGCACACAACTGCAGAGCCTGTGATGGCAAGTTACTCTTGTCTTGGTGAATGAAAATGCTGACATCTACTGCCTTGAAACTCACTGGAAGTAACACCAGTTATCTTGCCATAATTCAATCTCATGTGCCTAGAAGACCAGGCAGAAAATCACACAGGCACAACTAATAACTACTGGATGAATAAAAAGAATACCACGTAGATTGGTATTGTAAATGTCAAGATGATATTGCCACACCAACAAAATGTATACAGCTGCTGATTGGATGATGTCCTTCCACTTGGAGAGTACTGCTGAATAAAGGTGATTGAGACCCAACTAATTATACATATTAATGACCTGCAAACTTGACTCAATAGGGAAAACACACTGAAGTGTGACTATGATACAGCTCAAATCTTTCTTTACATGGTTGACACCAAAGAGAACTGGGTTACGACTTTAGGTGAGAAAGACCACCTCTCCACCACATCCTTTCCTTAGCAAGCAATGATGGTGATGGCGAAGGAGCGGGGAAATGAAAAGCATGCTGCCCAACCACAGATCTCCATCATGCTTCCTCAGTAGCACAAAGCAGGCAAGCCCTTCACCTCGTTCGTGTAAGCTAATGACTCATCTTTCTGCTTTCCTTAAGCCTTAGAGGGGCTGCTCAGTTTGGTAAAGCTGAGACCCGGGCAGCCTCTGGATCCCTGCAAACAAAGTACCATGCCCAAAGGAGGCAAGGCAAAGCTATCATTAGTTTTCTAACCATACTAAATTGTTGCTTAACTCAGGAAATATGCATTTTCTCTTAAAATTCCTGAGGAAGTCTTTTGCATTTTCTATACTGGTGACTGTTAAATAGATAACTGGGCATTGCGATATTCTGTACTGGTCTTCCCAGTTCCATGATCTCCATAGAAGAGCACACACACACAGACCCACATACATCATTTTCTTCTTGGGGAACACCTGTCTTGGGAGTTCTTGGAGGCGTAGCTTCCGAGCACGAATAGGGTCAAGCACACAAATGGTGCAGTGAGTCTTTTGGAAGTCACATTTGTCCCTGAGACTTCAGTCACCTGCAGACTGCATGCCTCATTGGCTGCAGCACCTCAGTCCTGACAGTGGAGAATGAGTTCAGGAATCTCACTGAGCGTCAAAATTTGACCTGAGAGTCCAAACAGTATACCAATTTAATGTTGAAATGCCTTGTATTTTCTGCTGATTGTGAACTTTTTTCTTTACTTTTGTTATTTGGCAGCTGTAATCAATCTTCTTTGGGTCTGGGATACTTTATGGGATAGGAAGGGCATACTAAGGAAACTAATGCATCAGTTAAGTAGACATACCTGTTCTGATTCATAGAAAATTCCTACTTCTTTTGCTATGCAAGCTCACACACACACACACACACACACACACACAAATCCTGGAATCCCTGCCACATTCATAACACACAGACATAACCACAAGGCAGCAAAATTCCATGACCACACCTGTAAAAAATTCAAGCCAGGCAGAAGATGCGAAAAGGTGGATATGATATCAGGTGAATGTGTAATCAGTAATAAGAAATACATTGAGCCCCATTATGAAAAGAAATCCCCCAATTGTTCAGGACACCCCCTCCCCCATCCACTGATTTATTAACCCTGAACAAAGATGTAACTGCAGGGTCTCAGAAACTTTTTTTTTTCTTTTTCTTTTCTTTTTTCTTTTTTTGGTATTTGTTTTGGCTTTGAATTTCTTAACTAGTTGTACCATTCATTGCACATTTTCTTTGCTCAGTTGCCCATCATTTCCCCTCCACCCCTCCAGAAATGAAAGAAGCCGTAGCCTCTGAGCCTTAAGGATGAGACCTCTGCATTTTCTTTGCTTGTTTAGGGCAAGAAATGAAGTGCCGCCTCTTTAAGTGGCAGAAGCATGCAGGAGGAGCATACCTTTAATTTAGTGTTGGGATACCTTACTTGCACCCTGGCTGTTGTCTTATTGGAGACGGCAGCCTGCCTGAGATCCTCTAGCACTGAAATAATATCATCCAGCACGCATTTCTTATCCTGATTTCTCAATACACATAGATGGGAAAAAGTATAATTATAGCCCTTGTGGTTCACCTTCATTTCCAGCACGGCTCGGTGGGTCTGCAGGATCCCCTCAGCCTGGAGCAAAATATTGTCCCCGGGTGAGGAGAGGAGGATCACCCTGCCATACCTCCCAGGGGTGTGTAAGTCCGAATAGAGCTGGCTTTTGGACTGGTCCAGGGGGAAAAGGCTGCTGGCTAGGCTGCGCTCGATCTTGGCCAGGCTGTGGCTGGGAGCAACCAGGCGCTCCAGGTCGCCCTCGGTCTGGAAGCGATTGAGCGCGCTGAGGCCGAAGGTGATGGTCAGGACTGCCGGCACGGTGAGGAAAAAGACCGGGTGCCGGCTCACGCACAAGCCCAGCCTGTGGCAGAATGACTGGAGCCCTCTGCGAAGCACCTGCCGCAGCATCCTCCACCAGATCCAGCTCGCAGGCGCTCCCGGCCGTCTTAAAAAGCACATGTGACATGTGTAAGCGCTGGGGCTACCCCTCTCTCCCCCATCCCATTTCCCCCCACCCCCGGGGATCAGCTCCCCCCTTCCCACCTCCGCCACCGCCTCCTCCCCGCCCCCTCCCCGCGCACACCCCGCAACCACCGCTCCGCCCGGTCTTCCCCCGGCCCCACCTCCATGCGCTCTTACTACTCTTTCAAACACTGCAGCAAGTTGCAGCAAGGCCCGCAAGCCTCAAGTCTCGGGAGCGCGCGTGGGCCCCCCCCCCCGGACGGCGGGCACTGCGGGGGGTGGCAGGGCCCACCCGGTGTCCCCGGCCTCCCCGTGCCCTGGCCGGCGCGCGCGCGCTGCCTCTCACCGCATGAGCCGCGTCCCCTAGCTCTAGCCCTTCTTCATGTCGCTGCTGCAGTCCCCCCGGCCTCCCTCGCTGGAGGTGGCGGTTCTGTGCGGAGCGTCCCACAGATGTGGATTTCCTCTCTGTCCCGATGGGGTTCGGTGTCTCACTGGGACCATGTGCCTCGCGGTGTTGTAAGAAGCAGACATGTGCCCCGTGGCGCGGAGGGAGGGCGGGAGTAGAAGAGGGGGGTGGTGGTGGTGGTGGCAGCGAAGCTTTTCTCTTTTTAAGATGCTGACAGTTATTTTTAGAGTTTTGTTTTCCTTCTCTTCCCGGCTGGAGTGAATGGAAGAGGAAAGGGTGATGGAGCTGCTGGCCCGCGGGAGCAGGAACCATCAGAGCCTAGGAGGGAGGGGCTCCACGCCTTCTCCAGAGGGCAGATTTCAAGCTCCTCTTAGAGCCCCGTGCCCTCGAATTGTCTTTTGGCCAAAGAAAAGGGAGCAGAGAGGATGATGCTGCATTTTCAACATTCCACAAAGCAAATGCTTTCCTTGCAACACTTTCCAGGCTGCCTTGCCACAAGCTCTTCTAAGCTGAGGCCTGCCAGAGACCCCATCTATGCCAGGGCTTGGGGCTCCCTGGATCTCTTCATCATCGCTCTGGAGGTTGGGGAGGAGGCATTTACCAATAGAAATGTGGTGTGTGTGTGTGTGTGTGTGTGTGTGTGTGTGTGTGTGTGTGTGTGTGTGTGTGTGTGTGTGTGTCACAGGCAGTGTGTCTTCTCCCTAAGTATTATACTCACGTTCTGTAAGCCTGAGGGTTCAGGACCTAAAGTTTTTAGTACTTACTGGCTTCTGCTCCCCCACCCCCACCCCGCTTTCCTTATCACAGTCGTTTCAGGACCTTTAGTTTAGGATACTTTTCTTCTGTCAACCCAATTTCAGAAGTAAAACTTTCAGAGACGCAGCTGGCAGTTTTGTCTGAAGAAAGAGAGCTAGGTGGACAGGGGGCAATATACTGCAGATCTTGAAGAAAACACTAAGTCTCCATCACAGAGAAAGAAAGCTCCCACGATGCTGCCCTCAGTGCTCCTAAGTGTGAAGGCCAGGGGCTCTCACCAGCAGACCAGATCAGTTTCAACGTGTTTCAAAGCTGCTAGGGTATTCATAAGTTCCTGTTTGGGGGAGGGAGGGGAATAAAACAAACAAATATACAAACAAGATGAAGAAATTCTGAAAACAAGTTGTGTAATTTGATTGTGAACTGATTTTTCCAATTCGGAACGACTTCCATAGAGAAGACAGGGTCTCAAGGGATGCTTTTTGCTCACTTTCTTGGTAACAACCAGGGACCCATTTTCCATTAGATGCTTACAGGGGTGCACATCTCAGGACACAGACAAGCTAATGGGCCCATCTTCTAAATAGATATTTTATATATTTATTTTTCTTCATTAGAAGTGATCCCTCAGCTAAGGCAGCAAATAAAACAGCCAATTCTAAGAGAAAAGATAATATTTAAGAACCAGAATTTATAGGACTGGGCAAATGAGATTGTAGAAAAATTCCGGCCTTATAAAAATGGAAACGATCCTGGTGACTGTGTTGGGAAATAGCTTCTGTAATATTCTTGATGTTTCACTAGGCAGTCTAAGCTACAAACTTCTTCACATCTAAGGCCTTTCCACTTTTCTTGGAAGGTCATTCTACTGTTAGACTGCTACTCCTTGTGTTCAGCTGAACCCAATGTCTTTGCAATACTCCTCTCTCTCTCACTCAAAGGGAAGCCTTTTTCCCCCCCACTATCAGATTTTTATACCATTTATAATGTGTTCCATCAGTGCCACATGATCCAAAACTTTTGGTTATGCAGCAAAAAATGAAAAGTACTTATATCAGGGTTGGAGAGATGGCACAGCAAGTAAGAGTATATATTATTGGAGAGGATCTGGGTTCAGCTCCCAGCACTTACCTGGTGGCACCATCAGTAACTCCAGCTCCAGGGAAGCCGTTGCCTTCTTCTGAGCTCCACAGGCACCAGGCATGCATGCGGTACACATGCACACATTCAGGAAAAACACTCATATGCACAGACACTAAGTGAATCTTAAGTATTAGAATATCTACAACCATTTTCTTCAGTCTCTTTATTATATTAAATGTACTTGGTCAGATTTTTTACATGCATTTTTCTAAGAAACTGTCTTAAAATAACAACAGTAAAATTTGGGAATGGACTCTGTTCAATAAATTGCATATTCTGTTTTGTAAACAAGGACCCTGGACAGTAGGGGGATTAGGGGACTTCAAGGCTACCCCCAGAGTTAATGCTGAGGCTGGAACTGATATCTGGGTATTTTCTTTCTCAGTGAGTCCTGTTTCCATTGTTATCAACAGTAGACATCCACCTCACTTCTCACAATACACAAGTCTGCCACAATTATTCTGACCTAGCTTTTTCTTTGCACTTTCTTCATTACCTCCCCTAATAGATCCATCATAATTTGGGGGAAAGATTATAATATATAATTGACTCAAAGCGAAATATAATGGCTTGCTAAAATGAATGACTGTTATAAATAGACATCGTGTAGAATTATAATACATGGAAATACATTCATTCACTGTTAAGTGAAAATTATATGCAGTATGAAGTCACCTGGAAAGATAAAGGCATATATTCACAAATGAAAGATAAAGGTGGCATTAAAATGTTTCTATTTATAATTTGATGATGAGATTGATGGTGATAAAATAAAAATGGCTTAATTTTAGACATTTTTAGATTGTAGGAAATTTTAGAAAGTACTGAAGATTAGAAAATCTTAGGAAGATGACTTCAAACTATCATCCAATTTCTTCCATTGTTAATATATTAGTATAGTATATTTAATATAGTTATTTCTTCAGTTTCTAACTCATGTCCTTTTTCTGTCCCAGCATCCCATCTACAAACCCACATAATATTTAGTGGCCAAGTTTCCTTTGGTGTCCTTTAGTTGGGTCAGTGTCTCAGACAGTCCTTGCTTTTGATTAATCTACTCAAAACTTTTGAGGTTCATGGGGTCCTTTTATAATTTTTCCCTAATGGGAACTATGGGATATTTCTCTCAGAATTAGATGCGATTTGATGAAGGAAGAGCATAGAGAGAAAGTGCTGCTTTTGTATCCCATCAAGGATGTGTTCTATAAATGTGACTCTTAATGTGAACCCAACTGCTTGCCTGGATTCATGCTTATCAGCTTCCTTCATTGTGAAATGAACCATATTCCATACTATATTTTTGAGGGGAAAATTGCTATGTGCAGCTACTCTAGAGGTGTGAAGAGCTAGCCTTTCCTCCTTCCTCCTTGAAGCTGGGACTGTGAGTCATTTGAAATTTGTCTATGCAGGATACTGGTCTATTTTACTGATACTGTTATTCTATTTAGCTTTTATTTACCTTCATATAAACCTATATATATTTCTTTGCACTTTACTTTATAATTGTAGACTGTTTGATTATTGAAATTATTTTTAATTTAGCCCTTGACCATACTTTTGGTTAACCACTTGGCTCCTGTGTCTCTTTGACATACCTTATTGTGATGGGATGCCCTTTTTCTCTTTTAAAAAAGCATTCATTAAAAAAAATCATTACTTTATAATCTTACAAGATGTTCCAGGCTCACCTTGTATCTTTCCATGACTGGTTCTAGAATTAGCTACTTTTTCTAGAAGTCTTAAATATTTTTGTTTTGATTGTATTGTTTTGAGAATTATATCAGAAACAAATGTTTGTCCATTTGCTTGCTGATTGTCATCCTTTTTAGCCATTTTCAGTAGACAGAGATGGATATAAGTATACACATATTCTATATGTATATCCTTTGTTACTATGTTAAACTAATAATAAGAACATTTACATTGGTGCCTCTTGCTGTACTATAGTACTACACAGATTGTTGGAGTCCATCACTCTTGCTAACCTGTAACTGGAATTCCACAGTGAAAAACCTGACTTTTGAGGTGACTTTCAAATTGCTTTTTTTTCTCTCTGATAAGATGTATCAATTCTTATTAGAAAAATTTGCTTAAATGAAGACGGAAGAGCCTAGTTTCCCCTAATTTTGATACTTTTGAGAACCTAGAGTTAAATGCTACCAGAGATTCATTAGAAAGACAAATTATATGCTAAGATGGGGGGGGAAATTAGAAATGATTGAACTATAGAATGCTAATCTTCACCAAAACATCAGTGAATATGAGTCGCATGATAATTCTTGCAAATATGACTTAAAGCTTAATAGAAAGCTAAGAGCAGCTGTATTTAGGAATGTACACGTAAAACAATAATCAATAATGTTTAATTCACACAACCTTCATTATTTAGTGTATTGGTCAATATCAGTTTTCAAGACTTAGAGCCAAATTGGAATTTATTCTGTGGTTCTTTTTTAGAAAGGGCCTCGGGGACACAGAGTGTTTCTACAATTCACTTCTGGGATGTTCTGACTGAGGTACTCCATTCTCAGACCCTCACTTTCCTAATTTGTAAATCTGGATGGCATTAACTCACCTATTCAGGGCTGACACTCAGTGCTGCAAGTCTGCTGAGCTGACCTTGTTCACAGTAGCAACTCTAACAAGCCTCCAGATCTTATCAGATATAAGGCAAAAATTTGTATGGTGCTCAAAGTTAATATTGATTGTGGCTATTCCTGGGTGGCAGGGGAAGGAAGAAGACAGGGGTGTGGTTCTGTGTTCACTAATTTTCCATTGGTGACATTCAAGGTCACGCCTGAGGTCATTTCCCAGCCAAGCAAATGAAAGGGAAACAAGCATGGAGGTGCCCTTCAGGAGGGTGTGGTGGCTTGGGTAGAGAGTGGCAAGCATCGCTTTTGGCTGCGTTCCTGAGACTAGAACTTAATCTCTGGTAGGAGGCGTTAGGACGCAGTATAGCTATGGGTCTCAAAAGGGTCAAAATGCAAGGATCAGGCAACAAATTCTCTCACCATCTTCTCTGACATTGTCCACCCCAGCTCTCTGGTGTTTACCCAGTCTAATATGTGACTCCCTTAGGACATTTCACCCAGGACTTGTTTAGCCAGCACCCCGTGAGCAAGGCTAGCCACGAGCTTCATGAAACTATTTTCTAGCCTTTCTAGCCTTCAGTGACGGTTTCAAGGAGTGTTCATTTCTAAGATTAGCAGTACCTATTGTTTGGGGTTGTTACATCCCAGAAACCTACACCATTTATAAATACATATATATATATATATATAGTATATATATATATAATATATAGTATATATAGTATATATAATGAGAGAGAAAGAGACAGAGAGAGAGAATTCTGAATTCTGATCTTCAGCATTTTGGATGTTTCCAGCTGCAGCTGACTCAATTAATAAGGAGATTTCTTACCTCACACACATAATAAGATAGGACAAAGAACGACAGTTACAGAACTAGTTGATTTGGAGATTCAAAGGCAGTTTTAGAAACCCAGGTCCTCTCCCTCATCTGGGTTGGCATTTTGTGCTGGTGTTGCTCACAGACAAGGCATGCAGACCAAACAAGATTCAGATGAAGAAGAAACGGCTTCAGCCTGTATGTGTCTTCAAAGAGTGAAGAAGCCTTTCCCAGAAGACTCCCTGTGGAGTTCTTGGTAAGTCTTATTTCCCGTGCCTATGTCTAGATGAATCACTAGCAGTAGGAATGATAACACTGTAATTGGCTTAGGCCAACCTGGACTCTTACTGGGCTGGGAATGGGGCCAGCTCCATCCCTGAGCTTGCTGTCATGTGTGAAGTTTATCTTGAGTGTGTTTTGGGTTAGAGCAACATTTCTCTAGGAAGAAGCATGGTATTGTGCAGATGTTTGGATATCTGGCAGGCAACAGTAACCTCTGAGCAGATTTTTCTGCACAAAGAAGATTTGTTTTAAGAGAATCTTTTTTTTTATTTAAAAATACATTTAAAAAGGGAATAATTGATTTCTTATTTTAATTTTCTTTCTGTCATTTTTGCAAAGTTTTATAATATGATAGAAAGAAAATCTATTTATGTAAATAATATACAAATGTATTATTCTCTTGGAAAACCTAGCTCTCATAATCACATGAGATAGATCTTACTGATATTTGGAATCTCTGCAAATATCTTGTCTTTGTCAGAAGTTTGATTAGGATTTGGAGCTGGGGAGAAAGCTCATTGGGTAAGAGCACTAGCTGTAGACCTGAGTTCAAGTCTACATCACCCATATAAAATGTGGATATGGTAACAAATGCCTGTAACCCCAGAATAGAGGGGGCTGGAGATGGACAGATCCTAGGAGCTCATGCTGTGGGCTTAAAACCTGAACTAAACACCATTTTCATTCTAGTAGCAAATATTCCACTAGATATTATTAAAGGAGGGAAGATCATATCGACCTATGAGTTATAAGCACAGACATTTTCACAGAACTAGTGTGTGTGTGTGTGTGTGTGTGTTTGTGTGTGTGTGTGTGTGTGTGTGTTAGGGTAACCGATATTTAGAATCAGGCCATTGCACATGCCAAAACAAGCTCTTTATATCAATGCCTATATTCCCATCTCCTAAACTAGTACCTTTTAGAGGTAGAAAAGCAGATAGCGTTATGGAAAAATAGCAGTTAATCAAGAGGTAGTTTTACCTTAATGATCAGCATCCAGTCCTCTTTACCATCACTTCACCTTGGCCAAACCATTGCATGCGAATAAATTTTAGCTTTTTATCTGTAAGCTAGTGTAAAGCAATGGACTTGAATTAGATGCTTATTAACATTCCTCCTGCTTTGACTTCATGACAATCTGGAGAATGCATTAACTTGCTGGATTTCTCACATGCTGACAAGCAATAACCGTTGGTTCCTGCTTGAATCTCAGCCTACCTTTTTATTTCCCAGTGACTTGTACATTTGTATGATAGCAAAGAATTAAAAGTGGCCCAGAATGCAAGAACCCAAACTTTGGTATTGCTCTGCAAATGATAAAGGCTGCAAAATTACCTGAAATACGGCCACAAGAAGAATAGCTAAGCTGAAGATTAAATTCTTCTGCCAAATCATATTACAGTGTGGCGTCTTCCTGGATCAACCTATAAAGGCTACCTGCTTCTGTGTCCACAGTAGGTTTTCAACTATTTAAATAGATAGTTTCTAATCTGGGGAAAAGGTGGTCACATTTAAAATGTGTCTTGAACTTGTTTTTGTTTGTTTGTTTTGTTTTTCCTTCTTAAATCCAAATGAAATACAAGTCATTCGGGTTTGGACCCAAAATAACTTATTTTCTGTATTTCTTCTTCCTTCTTTCTTCTTTCTGATAGGAATTCACTTTTCTTCCTTGGAAATCTGTTTAACCCAACTTTATTCAAATTACTCTAAAATATATTTCATTCTTCTGGATGAATTCATGAGTACATTCCTGACATATCATCACAACATTATACATATTTTCTTCACAAACTCAAACTAATATTCAGATCAGGTTATGTTGGATGATGAGCTAGGCTTTCAGTGGTGTTCACCATGCCCAGAGAGATGCTTGCTCCTTCAAGATGAGTTGCCAATGAATGTGCCATCCTAACCATGAAAAATAGTATTTTCCAGTTGAAAAGGCTGTTCTCCATGTGAACTCTGAAAAGTAAATCTGGCAAAGCCATTGCTTGAGTTGAAGTAGGTATAAGACTCCCGTTAAAGAGGCATTCTGTGTTACTGTAGACGTTAGTGCTTTTAACAAAGGTCCATAATGTGATTACCCTATCAAATAGCAATGTTTGTCTTCACATCACTGGAAAGAGACCACTTTAGTAGGAGAGCTTTGATTATCTATGCCCTTGTTTAGGAGGGAAGAAGGGCAATATAAACAGTGAAAGTGGGACTTGAGAGGAGGTAGCATAGACTGAGGGGTCTAACCCAGTGGAGAAGAACATGTGAACACTGATATTGTTTGAAATAACAGTATGTGATTATTATGAACATACCAGATTTTTTCACCATTTCATTATTTCTTTTATTTCCTAAAACTAATATGATTTATTACTTATACCTGTGGGGGGTGTTCCCACTGTTCAACCCTCCCCGTACATAGAATATCACTGCTCTGAAAACTTGTGACTGGGTTCTGAGTATCTTTCCACCTGACACTACTACATATTGTTAAAAAGGTGAGACTCACTGTTAACCTTGAAATGTCAGATGAAAGAACCGTTTGTCCTATCATGATTTTTTAATGATTTTACAAGTCATATAAGCATTTAATGTCAAGATATATAAGAATATATAATTACACAATTTCCCTCACCCCTTTTCCCTTCCAACACTCTAAAATGGTTTTTAATTAAATTAATTAGAAATATTTTGTGGGTTATGTGTGTGTGTGTGTGTGTGTGTGTTCCTGTGTGTTATCTGCCATGTGTGTGCAGTTGCCTGTGATTGCAAGAAGATCCCCTGGAACTGGAGTTATCATGGTTATGAGCCACCCTGCATGAGTTCTGGAAGTCAAACTTGGGTCCTCCAGGAGAAGCAGCAAACATTATTAAATACAGCCATCTCTCCAGCCTCTTATCTGTAATTTTTACCTTGCCTCTTGTGATGATTTTGTCCCTTTAGAATGTAGTAGAGACGAAATGGAAGACCTGGATTCTAGGTTCAAGCAAAACTATACAAAATCTGTGGCTTTGCTTGAAACAGAGTTTTCTTACTGGGGAAACAGCTTTCTTCAGAAATAGTAGATGTTAAATGACATTAGATAGCAGACAAACTCAGACTAAGTTTGACATTCAAACATTTGGCTTTCAGCCTGTCAACCAAACAGAAGAATTCTAAAATGACCTTTGGGAGATATCTAGCCTTTTAGTTAGAAAAAGAAATGCAAGTTTATATCCAAGTGGAAATGTTTTTATAAATAAACTTCACATAACTGTTTGTATGTAAGTAGACAACATTTCTCCAGAAAACATGGAGGCTAAGACTGGATATTTAGTGGTCTTGTTGACAAGGGTAAAATCAATAGTCTTGCACAAAAATTGTAGTGGAATTTCTTTCTGTCCTGCTCATGTTTAGGAAAGGATCTTTCCATTGCTGAACTGATTTAAAATTTATTGTGAGCTTCACTACACTAAAGTAATCTATGCCTACCTTCCACATAGGATAGGAAAAGGAAGGGGCTGTGCCATACAAAACACTCCCTATTCTAAAAAGGAATCTGCACATACACATACACAACACGTATGTTTTATGTTATTGATTCCTTACCACGCCCGTTGTTAATAGTTTGCTTGTTCTGAGCTAACTACCACCCCAACCCAGATGCCCTTGGAGTAGCACAAGGTTGACACCGGCAGAAAGTAAATAGACCCAGTGCTTGAAGAAGTGCGAGAGCCCTCAACATGCACTGAATGACGGGTTAGTGTGCAGGCGATGACGACAGAGGCGCGGCCATCACCACTCTCAGGAATATGGTGGACCACCTGACCAGAAGAGCAGGACTATGCTCCAGAGTCATTGGCTGCCTTTGTTTCCTCTGTCTTCTCTCTACACAACTGGCTGGCTGCAGCTGAGATGGAAGGTTGTTTCTGAGGTGTTACCTTGCTGTCTTCCCAGACTGCTGGTTCTCTAAGTGTAGAGTGGCACTTTCAGATTCGCTTTCTGTCTCTGTTCATAGCCTCTATGGTGACAGGCAATGAGGGATGAAGTAACACACTTGCTTGGGTTTAATGAAGTCAATGCCTAGTCCACATAAATCTTTCGGTTTCGATGCCTAGTCAGCATAAATCTCCAGTTTCCAATAATTTGGGGGTAATAGTAATATATAATAACATAGTAGCTGCACAATTCATTCAGAAGTGCTCTCCTCAAAGAAGATAAAGTTAGGCAAATCTAAGAAAGATGCCAGAAGCACATATGTCCTATAGCAAGTTCCCTCTGACTTTGAAGGTCAGACCTTGCAGCCCATGATATGGTGATGGTCCGGTTTGTGTCCACTCTCTGTGTTCTCCATCATCTTTGCTTGGACCTTGTCTCTCTTCTGCCACCTGCAGCAACTCCTCTGGTGATAACGGGTTATCTTGGTCTTTGTGCTTATTGCTCTTGTATGGAGCACTATGTGCTTTCAGGAACTGGTTCCTTTCTTGGTGATTTTTGAGATCTGAACAAATTCACTGTAGCCAGCTCATGAATTCAAAGGCAGGATTAACAAAAAAAAAAAAAAAAAAGATTCTGAATCAATGAGCAGGTGCGAGATGACGAAGATGTGAGAAGCCAAGTTTGTTTAGCACACCCATCAAAGAATTACGGAATAACTGGAATCTTCCTGAGCAAATAAAAAGCTTGCAGCTTTCGAGGGGTGTGCCTTTCTTAGGTAAGCTGAAGTTAGAGAATTGGAACTTCCTTTTTGTTTAAAGAGTGCTTCACATTTCTGAACAATGTTTCTGGAGCTTTCTATTCATGGACTTTTACCACTTTGTACCCTTGTTTTTTTCATTGTTTCTTTACTGTCCCCACAAAATGCAATCAATTTTATAGACCTAATTTTAATTACATTTCTTTTCTCAATATAATACATGTGCATTGTGAAATCATCAAAGCGCGTATAAGTAATAATGCTACAAATAGCTATCACTTACGTTGTTTGTAATTTTATGCAGAATGGACTTCTCTCATTCAACCATGCCCTTAATATATATAAATTTGGCTTAGTTCCAAATTTCTACTGCTGCTAATGTTACAGAGTAGAGAAACACTGTTACTAAGTGTAAGCACACATATAGATTCCTAGAGGTAAAAGAAACAATGTATTTGGTGCTCGCTTCCGCAGCACATATACTAAGAAACAATGTATTTGGATGCATTTTCAGGTTTTGTTTGTTTGTTTTTCAGCTTTTGGAATTTACTGTTAAGTGTTGTTCCAGCATACCTACATGAAAATATGTTGAAAAATGTTGTCTTACGATGTTAAAGCACAGGTAGTATATGTATTGGGTAAACTTGAAGATGTTATGTTTTTTTTAAAGATTTATTTATTTATTATGTATAGAGTGTTCTGCCTGCATGTATGCCTGGAGGCCAGAAGAGGGCACCAGATCTCATTATAGATGGTTGTGAGCCAACCTGTGGTTGCTGGAAATTGAACTCAGGTCCTCTGGAAGAGCAACCAGTGCTCTTAACTTCTGAGCTATCACTCCAGCCTATATGTTTTATATAACAGGACGAAACAAAAATTTCCATGCACTGCTTTATGATGTAAAAGAATGGGTCTCATTACATGATTTTACTAACATAATAGGGCTCTAAGTTTTAATACAAAAGCACTCTTCTTGGCTTCTTTCCCCACTCCTCTACTGTATCCCCCTCTCATCTCTAACTATTCTTCTCCCTCCTTCCAGTAGACTCCCTTCTGCCTTTATGCCACATGTTATCTGTCCCCCATAGACTACTGTTTCCATTTCACAGTCTCCTGTCATAAACTTTTAATTATTAAACTTGGACATATATATTTAGATGGCCACCACAATTACACAATCTCTTCAAAGATGATAACACTACAAAATAATTAAGTTTACGAATTTGTTATAGTAATGTCTAAAAACACATTCGGGGTTCAAAGTTAGTGTTCTGTTTTACCATGTTGATAGCTAATGTTCATCACTTATTGTTTATCTTGAGTTAGGTTTTGTCTATTTTATCTAGGAAACATTCTTTTACACATTGTTTAAATCCAATGTATAAAGCCTGAGTTTCTTCAGCATAAAGGCATCTTGGAAGACATTGCTATAGTCTGTTTGATACCTGTCCTGATATTTGACTTGTACATGAGATAATGTATGGATTAGTAGTTTCTAATTGGAGGTTCTGTGGAAGTTTTTCAGTTGTATAGCTAACTGGACTATTAAGTACAAAACTCCCTAGACACTTTCATCATGACCAGTAAATTCCCACTGAAGTTGAGTTTTAGCTCATAACTGTGGGTTAAGCCGTTGTCAACTTGTATATGGATAAAGACTAGGTAAGAGTTTTAACTTTCCATAGCACAAGGCATGTGTAGCATCTGTCACTGTATAATTCACACAAAAATTATTTTTGTGGGAGTGATTACTAAAATGTATCTCAGAATCAGTATTAGTCTTTCTTACTGCTCATTAAGGAACATTGCTGAGTCCACAAGGATATTGACACTGACCTAGTATCAAACCTTTTCAGTGTTTGGTAATAGTGGCTGAGAATACATGTTCAGAGACAATTTAGTCTGGGATCTGATCTCAAACTCACCCAATGGTTGAACCCTTAGGATACTTGCTATTGACGTTCCTGACCCAATGACAGCATACATTCAAATGCTTTTCTGCCAAGTAACTGCTGATGACTAATAAGGTAAATAACTCAGGTTTTAAGCATCTTAAAGTTCTGTAAACTTTGTGAACTTATAAACAGCAAAGCCTTTGGCATTCCACATATATTCTCGATACCATCACTTAAACCACGTCTTAGCAGATTCCACTTCAGGCAGTATTGAATTAGCGTTTTCTCAGCTTCATTTGAAAATATCCTCTCTATTGTTTTACAAAGATGTTGGTAAGAGTCAATGGTTCAGGCACATCAAGCTCTCCACAGACCTCTCCAACAGGAAATAACTGATGTACGGGAGTAACATCTTACTTCACAAAAGCCCAGGAAAACCACTGGGATCACTCCCCTCATTCTTAAACTGACTACTGAGACTACTGCCAATCTTTTCAACTCTTTGGAAAATTGATCTTGCTAAGACTTTGAGAAAAACTGGTGTGTTCTTCCCTGGGGAAAACTATTTCTCTCACTCTCAGCATTTCTTAATTGCCTATAGATCTTTGTGTAGGGTTGAGGCTTCATGGTCTGTCTCCTTGATTGCAGATCTAGTACTATTGTCTTGTTCAGCTCATGCTTAGGCAGTCATGTTGGTGAGACTGCATATGTAGTGTCAGCCCCATCTAGGAGACAGAATCTCATAGCAAACTCCCTGATCCACTGGGTCTTAAAATTGGTTTTCCAATTACTAAATGGTCAGTCCTGAAAACATACATGAAATTTACATTATGTAGACTGAGCGTGTTACATTTAGCAATGTGTGTGTGTGTGTATGTGTGTGTGTGTGTGTGTGTGTGTGTGTGTGTGTGTGTAAACAACAATTAATGAAAAAAGAGTCAATGAATTTGAAAGAGAAAAGGTGATGTATATGGGACAGTTTGGAGGGAGGAAAGACAAGTGGGAAATGATGTAATTATAACCTCAAAAAAATAAATGAAGTTATTTTAAAAGTTGATAATCTTAATTGGCCCCCTCTGTACTTTTCAGCTGCCACAAACATATTCATTCAAAAGTCCACACAGGGAAGCAGATTACCACAGTGGCTGCAGAGTGAACTGCTGAGAAATTTGGCTGTGGCCTCATATCTGCCTTTTGTTTTATGAAGACAGTCTGTTGAGAAGGGATATCCACTCAAAATTCCTGCTTGTCCTGATCACTGGTTTTCAGAGATATGAAGAAAACTTAATTTGGAATTGTCCACATTTTATTCTTTTAGCTTCCCTTCGGCACCAATGATTTAAAGAGTTGACAGTGAATTAATCCACACTTCATTGCACCGCAACACTACAATATGCAGTGTCTCCTTTCTTCTTTCTCTTTGTCATGACCTAAAACAATAAAAAGTATGATGAAGTATTGTCCATGGCAATAGGGATGCTGTGGAACTGCAGCTGTGTTTAGGTGATTTGCTGTAATATAAGTAGCAGGGCCAAACAACCAGAGTTCCAAGTCTGGACTGTCACAACTGTTCAGCTCTGTTGTTGTGACACCAAATAGCTATGGGTAGTGTGCAAAATACTAGTATTTTGTGTACTAGTATAAATGTGTACATCTGAATTTCATGCTAATTTTCACATGACATACTTTAATTTTTTTTCTTCATCAATTTACAAAAGGCAAATTCTATTTTTAGCACATAATTTATATAAAGTTCGCAGGCTGAACCTAGCTTGCAGGTTCTGTGCTGAAGGTTTATTTCTAAATTAGGTAAGATGAACCTACTTTTTTGTTGTTGTTTGTAATTTAGTGTTTTCCCTTTCTATTTTTCAGTGGGAACTGGCATGGCAGATGGATATTTGGATCTGAGAAGGAAAGGGAATTCAGGTATTTTCCAGACCAATACCAATGAACTAAGAGTCCATGTCTGCTATGAGGCGGGAACAGCAAAATTGTGTAAATGAGAAGTGGCATTTGTATTTTTCCCATTAGCTTTTCTTACTTTAATCTTGAGTGAGTTTCAGATTAATAAGGTGAGAGACTATCTATGGAGAAAAATATAACACCTGTAAAAAGATAAATCATTTCTACCATACATTCTTTTTTAAGGCCCCAAGCAGTTTTAAATTTATTAATATCTTCATATACTTTCCATCACAATTTGTAGTCCAATATTTGGCTTTTGTAGCAAATTCCAGACAATTGAAGAAAATGATGAAATCTATTTTAATTAAATGTATTTGAAATCTGGAGCACAGATTCCCCTCCCTCCTCTCCTCCCATTCCCTTCCCCACCTCCACTCTGCACCAACCTCCCAATCCACCCCTTGCCTGTTTTTGTTAAGAAAGGGGCGGGCCTCCCATTGAGATCAACAAAGCATGGCATATCAAGTTGCAGTAAGAATAAGCACCTCCTCTTGTATTAAGGCTGGGCAAGGCAACCAAGTATGAGGAATAGGGTCCTAAGGGTCAGTGAAAGAGTCAGAGACACTTCCTGTTCCCACTGTTAGGAGTCCCACAAGAAGACCAAGCTATACATCTGTCATATATATGCAGAGGGCCTATGTCAGACTCATGTAGGCTCCCTGGTTGTCAGTTCAGACAACTGTGAGTTCATACAAGCCCAGGTTAGTTGTTTCTGTGAGTTTTCTTGTGATGTTCTTGACCCCTCTGACTCCTACAGTCCTTCCTCTCTCTCTCTTCAGCAGGGTTCCCCAAGCTCTGCCTAATGTTTGGCTGTGGGTCTCTGCATCTGTTTCTATCAGTTACTGAATGAAGGCTCTCTGATGACAATTGGGCTATACACCGAACTATGAGTATAGCAGAATATCGTTATGCATCATTATGTTGATGTTTTTTTCTCCAATCATGTTTGATTCTATCCTAGCATTCCAGGTAGTGTCAGAGTGGGTTCCCTTTCCTGGCATGGGTCTCAGGCTGGACCAGTCATTGGTTGGCTGCTCCCACAATCTCTGAACAACCCAGCACATTCCATAGGCAGGAAAGATTGTAGGCCAAAGGCTGTGTGGCTCGTTCGTGTCCCAGTTCCTCCACTGAAAGTCTTGCCTGGTCACAAGAGCCAGTTCAGGCTATGTTCTTAATGGGGGTCATCCTTGTAGATTCCTGGGAATTTCCCTTGCACCAGGTTTCTCTCTGACCCCGAAATGCAACCCCTCGTCCAGTCATCTTTCTCAGTACTCTCCCGCTTCATCCACCTCAAACCCAACTGGAGGCAGGTGGAGATGGGAACACTGTACAATCCTTGTGGCTTTTTTTGTTGTTGTTGTTTTATTCAATATTCTTTTTTATTGGTGTATATTCATTGTACTTGACCTCATAGGGATATTTTTATATTAATATACATAAATAATACACTTTGAGCAGACTCCATCCATGTATTCCTTTCCTCACCCCCCCCCCCAAATAGTTCTCTTTGATTGGCATGGACAGTTTCACGTCTACTTTTATGTTATATATACATTCTTGATTTTATGTATGTATATACAATCCAGTTTTTGTTGTCTCACAAATGCTAAAATTTGACTTACAATTTTGTTGTCCTGGGATTGTTTTGTCCATTAATTTTTTTTTAAAATTTGAGGCAGGGCCTCCCTCTGTTGCCTATGCTGGCCTTGATCTTCTGGGTTCATAGGATCCTTGAACTTGAGCCTCCCAACTGAGACAAGTACATTCCACTACATCTAGTTTAAATGTTCTTTTCTAAAAGACAAAAATATCAAGTTTACCCTTTGCATTGTAAATCTTTAGCTACTACACTGTTGAAATTATATTGGTGAAATTAAATGTTATAGCACCATTTGTCCAAAGTGGACTTAAAACTGAAGTAGAGCTGTGTGCCATTTAAAACATTGAAATGGTAGACATGGAGGATCTGCCAATTCTTCCTTTAAACACCGGCTACTCTCCTCCTCCCTATGCTTGTCTGTTTCGGACTTTTTTTTAACTATTTGTTTAAGTAAATAAAGATGTGTTGCATTTGTTTATGTTGTGGAATATTTGTTTAACTATGTAAAGATATGGTGCATTTGTTTAATTGTGTAAAGATGTGTTGCTGTTTTACCTTGCCTGCCTAAGACACCTGATTGGTCTAATGAAAAGCTAAATGGCCAGTGTAAGGATTATGTCCTCAATTACGTCACCAGCCTGCAAAGGCATCCCAGCCTAAAAGGCAGGCATGCCCTCTCTGTGCCCTCTCTTTTTCTGCACTCTCTTCTCCCGTATTCCCTCGCTTCCACACGTTCTCTCTGTCTGTCTCTCTCTGTCTCTGTCTCTGTCTCTGTCTCTCTCTCTCTCTCTCTCACTCACTCGCTTGCTCGCTCTTTCCCTCTCTCTCCCAATAAAGCTCTAGAAAGGTAACCATGGCTTGTGATTCTTCCATCACCGTTACATCCAGCGCTCTCTTTCCTTGGCACGGCGGCCATGGGAGGCGGCCAGCCACAAGTGCAGCCACTTAACCAACAACCAGTATCAAGGGGGGAGGTATAGGCAGAACTTCTGGGCAAAGAAAGAGCAGCAGGAGGAATTTAGGTTGTGAGGGAGAAAAAGAAAGAAAGAAAAAGTGATGCTAGGGGCCAGACAGACAGACCTGGGGGAAACAGAAAAGTAGGACATACAGAATGCAAGAAAGGTAAAAAGTCTTGAGACAAAATGTAGATGAATAAGATTAAATTAATTAAAAAGAGCTAGTGAAACAAGCCTAAGCTAAGGCTGAGCTTTCATAATCAATAATAAGTCTCTGTGTCTTTATTTGGGAGCTGGTTGGTGGCCCAAAGAAATGTCCAACTACACCTCTCTCTTTCTATCATGATGCCATACAACACTGGTTCAGGACAGGGCTAATCTGAATAACTATAAAACGGAATTTAATGTTAGACTCTTATGACTTTCTCTCATTACTTATTCCTTGGATCTATTCAATACCTATAGCATCCCAAACACTAAGTATCTGAAATTTTGTGTTTCCTACTTTTCTATCCTATGACATATGTTCAAACCAGTAACTGTAATCTCAGTAATTATAAAAAATAAATTTGATAAGCCAAGCCATCTATTAGTAAAACACTAACAATGTTAATGATGTTGGTCACAATAATGACTGGTTATGGGAATATTCTTAAAAGCTAAGAACTTTACATACACCATATTACTTAATTTAATAGTTGCAGACAAAAGTCCTAGGTGGCAATATTATTAACTATTACTAAGTTATTAGGTGAATGATTTGAGGCTCCAAGATAAATGACTTTCTTAAGGTCTTATAGCCACTAGGTGGCAGAGTCTGGATCCAAATCCAGATGTCTCTAATTCACAAACCCACAAAGCTGATGAGACAAATGAAAATTCCATAACTATCCAAAAAGAATTATCTTGCTATGATAAGAACTACAGTTTATTTCCTAACCCAGGTATTATGAGCTAGTCAATCAAGATAAAGTGCCCCAAATGGAAGTACAAATAAAAGGTATTAGGTCAACTGAAAGAAGACTTGCCCAGCACACAGGAAGTGAGTCATAGTCTGTGCTTCGCATTTCTGTGGTGGTATTTTTGTTTCTGCCTATTAGGAAGTCTTATACTTAACTATAGAATAATTTATATACAATAAACTACATCCATTTTAAAGTTAAAAAAAAAGACAAGGTCAATTATACATGTATCCACACTCTCAATGGAATTGTTATATGGTGAATCTTGGGCAGTTAAATTTCAGATAAGTGACACAATATATACATCACCTTGACATATTAAACAAACACTTTCTCAGCAATACTATGAACTTTATTTTATAGTATACAATTACCTACCTGAATTTAAACTTTAGCCAACAATTGCATTTTATTTCAAAGTCAACTTTTGGAATGGACATGTCACATTATAGGACCATCAACAAGGTAAGTGTTGGTAGATCTGATAACATAATAGAAAACTTTTAGTTTCTGAGGTCATATTTCTTGTGTCCTTTCAGGAAGGTTGGGTTTCCTTAATCAGTACTGATAAATTTTCATCCCTAAACACATTTAGTTGCTCAAAATACATGTTAATTTCAGATAAATGAATTTTATGACAAGCCCAAGTTCTGAAATAAATGCGATTTACAGTTTTGTGATGTTTCCTTTTTTCATAAAAACATTGACATTTTGTTATTTGTTTAATGGATATTTTTCAGTGGTTAAACATGGCTGTGAAAGAGAAGAAACACAATCAGCATATGATATGAATGCTCTTATGTTCGAGTGGCTTTCTAAATTCGAATATGAAGTTATTGAAGGTGACTTGTCATTTAAAAGCCGTACTTCGAAAAACCTGTAAAATCCAGTAAATCCTCCAAGAATACCACTTAATGTTCGAGGGACTAAAAGATTGTGCTTTTAGCTCAAAGGGGATCTCACAAAGATGAAATTACCTGTCTTTTCTCCCAATGCAGAGGCTCTGTCCAAATCCCTGGTTCAAAGAAATATGAGTGATGAGCACATTGACACAAATTTGCTGGTGTTGAAGACAGAAGGGTTCCATGCCACAGTGCAGTGAGTGACAACAACAACACCAGACATCCCCAAACATGAACAGTAATTAAATACCATGGCAGCAGAATCATTTACAGCAACTTTCTTCCAACACAGACATGGTTTTAAGAACACACAGAATAGTGTTGATTTCATGATTTGCATAATTTGTTCTTGGGGTTTCAGGCAGTTTGGCCACTTACTAAGTGGTAGAAGACACTATCCCTAATTAAGGTAGAATAATACCCATCAGACTGTCTCCATTCACCCAGGAGTCATCTCTGGCTATGCCCACATATAATTTTGTTGTTGTTGTTTTAATAGATTCTGATGATTAGGAATAAAAACATCAACATCTTTTAACGGATTTAATTGTATAGTCATTTAAAAGCTAACTGATGATGATATTCATTATAGATGCGATGATGAGTCCTTTGGAAACTTACATGTAACTTAATGATTAAACTAGCAGTCATCAACAAAGCTCCCATTGCTGAATTTTCCTATTACATAGGATTTTGTTTTGTTTTTGTTTTTAAATATCATTTTGATCATAAATGTAAATTGCTTAGTCATCAATTTAAAAGTAGATATGCACAAAGCTGATAAAAATATTTTTAAATTTTTTAAAGTTAGATTAAAGTAATGAATTATTTTATGGATTTTTTTTCTTGAGAATTTGATACTTGTACACAAAGTATTATGATCACACCCACACCTATTCCTCTTATCCAACTCCTTCCATATTCTCCCAACACACCTTACTACCAACTTCATGTCTGTGTGTGTGTGTGTGTGTGTGTGTGTGTGTGTGTGTGTGTGTCTAAAATACCAACCACTGTGTCCAGTTAGTGTTGGCTTTATATGCATGGGTGTGAGTCATCCACTGAAGCATGGGTGGCCTATGAAGGTCACAAATGCAAAG